TGGGTGGGTGGGTGGGTGGGTGGGGGCAGCAGGGGTCAGAAGAGGGGAAGCCCCTTCTTCTTTGGTAAGCAGGTTCAGACCACCTGGGGAATTCTCTCGCTCTCTCGCCCTTCACGCGCCTTCCCTGCACAGGAGGGTCGCCTCCCAATGGTCTCGGCCGGGAGCAAACCTGCCTGCGGACCCCAACCCTTTGGGGATTGGGGGGAGGGTGGGGGGAGAACCAAGATTTTTACGCTGCTTCGTCTACGGTGAAAGCCAAGAGGTCAAGAGGTAGGTAGGTCAAGGGAGGGAGATGACCTGGGGGACCTTTGGGCCCTTCCCCAGGGGAAAGAGAGGGGGAGGTGGGCTCCCTTCTCACGGGGAGGGTGGGTGGGGTGGTTTCAACAGGAAGACCCGGCCCAGGCTGGCCTCCGGGCCACCCCCGCTTCCCCTCTCTGCTTGGCCAGGCAGGACAGAGCAACAGCCACCCCCCGTCTGGTGGGGGAGCGATTCGTAACCGACACTACTCTACAATGCAATACTGTGGGTAGCCTGGAGGGAGGGGGGGGGGAGAACCCCCCCCCAAAAGGATTTTTTTTAAAAAAAGAAGAAAAAAAGAGCTTTTTATGTACAGAACACCCATTTTACAAAAGCCCGGCCGAGTACTGAGTACAACGGATGAAGAAGAAGAAGAAGACATGATGCATAGAAGGTACAATGAGGAGCCAAACATTTCCACTTTTGTTGTTGTTTCTTTACACCCAAGAACAAAAAAAGGAAAGAAAAAAATTATATTATAGATTTATATTTATATACGTATGGGTTTTTAAAAAAACAAAACAAGAAAAAAATATGACACCGCTTCAAAGAGTAAAAAGTCTTCCCGGATGCGGGGAAGGAAGACGCCTTCCGGCCTCCACTCCTCCATCTGTGTGGCGACTCCGAAACCCCGCGCCCTGCGTTTCCGGGTCGACCACCGAGCCCAGCGCTTGGGGGGGGGGGTGGAGTGGCGGTGGCAAGGAGAGAAAATGGAAGACAGATTCCGCTGGGCCTTTCACTTGGTCTTCCAACACGGAGGTAAGGGGGAGGTCAGCTCTTCCCCCCCCACAGACTCAGCCCACGGGGAAGGGGCTCACGGCACAAGAAGGGTCCGAGGCCGGGCACCAACGGGCCAAATCTCCAACAGAGTTCCTCGTCAGGGGAGGGGGGAAATCAGCCCTCCGAAACCCGCCTGTCTCCATGACCGACTTGCCACCCCCAGCAGGGAAACCCAAGACATACAGCGTCCATATTGGCTTTGTTAGGACCAGAATCCTTTGCATATACGGGCGTTCCTGGTCGCCGGTGTCCTCCTCCTCCTCCTCGCCTGCTCAATGTACAGCTTTTGATCCTTCTGTGGGCTGCCAGTGTCATCTGACCACGAGGCACAGCACGCAGAGCTTGGAGGGGCCGATACAGTCGTCGTGGCAAAAGGCTCCGCAGCCCTGGCACATGATCATGGCTTTGAGACTGCAGGAGCACTTGAGGGAGAGCTCTTCCAGGCCTTTGCCTGTCTCGGCAAACACCTGGGCGGAGAAAGACAGCCCGCCCCGGGAAGAAGCCGTCAAGTGGGCTTTGGGGCCGAAGGGCCCGCCGTTGCCATCCAGGTTCCGGGGGAAAAAGGGGCCGCCGGGCGAAGAGGCGTAATTCAGACGGGAGGAATTCAGCTGCAGCTTGGAAAGCTTCCCGTATATGGCCTGCTTGATGTTGAGCTGGGAAGGGAGGGAGGACGGCTCCAGGGGCTGCGCAGGCCCCTTCCCCGGCTCCTTGGGCAGCTTGAAAAAAGCCAGGTCCCTCCCCAGGGGGAAGCCCTGCCAAGTCTCCATCATGTGGGGAAGGGCCTCCTTCGGCTGCTCCCTCTTCCTCTGGGCCGAGGCCAGCACCTTCTTGTTCTCCGTTGAGCCGCCATTCCTCTTGGAGGGCCATTCCTCCCTTGTGGGAGGCAAGCGGGATCCAGGGGCCATCGCCTTGGCCGGGGGAGAGACCAGTTTGCTGTGGGAAAGCATGCCCCACATGGGGAAGGGCTCTGAGCCGTGGGGCTTCTGGGCCTTGGCTGCTGCCCCGCCCGCGATGCCCGAGCCGAAGACCTTCCTGCCCAGAGCCATGGGTGTCTTCTCTGTGGGGCGGCTGCTTGGTTGCTCTGGCCCCAGAGAGGCCGTGCGCAGAGGGAGCTTGGGCCCCGGGGCGGTCTTCAGCGTCTCCTCCAGCTTCCTGATGCCAGCCGTGGAATCTGCTCTGGGCAGATCCATTTTATCCGGACGAGGGCAGGAAGAGGTTGGATTCTTTCCCAGATTCGAGAGATCTGTTTTCGGGGACTGGCCGATGGCTTGATCCAGGGATCCTGGATTTGGAGTCTTCTCTGGAGGCAGGCAGGCCCTTTCGGCAGAGTCCCACAAAGGTTGGGGTGCACGTGTGGTCTTCCTGGCTGAGTCACTCGGACCTATCCCATCCCTGCATGGGGCGTCCTGCACGAGGCGGTCATTGCTCTTAACCGCCTGGAGGAAAGGGCGGATTTCTGCCGGGGGCTTGTCCCGAGAAAAGGCTGCAGCTGCCTGGGAAGAGGCTGGTGGGAGGCTTTTGGGAGGCAGACCCTGGGGGGCGAAGTGTCCCTCCAGGGGCTTGGCTGCTGTGGCGGACACAGGCTGGGGGACACCCGAGCGTGGCCTTTCCTGGATTGTGACATCAACAGGGGGAACTGATTTGGCCGTGGTGGGGATAGGAGCGGGCAACCTGGTCCTGCAGGGGGAGTCAACGACCCCTACATCCAAAGGCAAATCTTCCCTGCTTTCCAAGATGACCTCTCTACGTCCCTCCGGGCGTCTCTGCTTGGACCCGCTTTCCCTCTCTTCAGCCTGGCGACAATCCCCGTTTATCTCCAAGTTCTCATCGGTGAGCTCAGCATCCAAATCGGAGGCCGTCTCTGTGGTCTCACTCAGCGGACTCTGGGCTTCCTCATCGCTGCCGGGGCTGGCTCTCGGCCCTGTCACGGCCCGCTCTCGCCCGGTCTCTACCTCCATGTCTGAGGGTGCCGATGCTGGGGACAAGGGGCTCTCACGGGAGCTCGTATTGAAGCAAGGAGGGAGCGGGCCTGTTGTCAGTGGGGAAGCGTCCCCTGGGCTGCTCGGGGCCCCTCTTCCGGGGCCTGGGGTGGCACCCTGTGGTGGGAGCTCCACAGGGCTGGGGTCCTCTGGAATGCCCTCCCACGCAGGAGAGCCCAAAGCCTCCGAGCCAACTCGTGTGCTGCTCCGGGAAGCCAGGTCACCTTCCCGGCCCTCCTGCCTGCTTCTGTCTCCGATGAGGATACTTCCGGAGTCTCCTAGCCAGCCATTGCTCTGCTGCCTTCCCACGGGAGATTCCCTTCTGTCCTTCCGATCGCGGCCCTCCAGAGGAGCATCTTCTGCGGAAGGTGAAGGCCTGGGATCATCCAAAAGGTGGCCAGGACGACTGGCCGGCACTTCTGTCGCTCTGCGATCCGAGAGGCTGCCTTCCGAGGAGTCCTCCGGCTGGGCAGCGGCTTCCTGGGAAGGAAGACTCGCAGCCTGTCTACCCTGCTTGAGCTCTCCTTCCCTGGCGGGTTCTGTGGCCCCGGAAGGCCAGCTCGCTTCCGGCCCCTGCCAGCCGGCGGTCTTCCCGCCTAAGTGGGAAGGCGGCAATAGCTGTGTTCGCTGTAAATCTGACCAGCGCTTCCCGCGAGTTCTCTTGCATCGCCAGTGCTTGGCCCGGTGGCTCCTGGGTGGCCGGAGCCGGCTGTTGCTGCTGCTGCCGCGACCACCACCACCGCCTTCGTCTGGGCTCCTTCTGCCGCCTCCTCCTGGCCCACCCCCACCTCCAATGGTGGAGGCAGGAGCAGCAGCCGCTCGCTGGACTCGGCCTTGCAAAGGACAGGCCTCAGAGTCAGCAGCGGCTGGGCTCCCCCTTCGGTCCGGCCGGCCGGGTTCTGGATTGGGGATAATCCGAGGACATATCTGGTAGGCTGTCTGACCTTTAACCACCCAGGGGGGTTTGATTCGGGAAAGTTGAATCTGGAGAGAACAAAGAAAAACAGGGGCGTTCAGAGGACGTCCAGTAGGCCTGCGCGTTAAAAGCCCCCCCCCCGCTCCGCCCCTAATTTGCAGAATTATATACTCTTTATAAGTATTTAATTTTTAGAGGAAGCCTCCCTAGGACTCGAGAGGCAGAAGCATGCTGGGCGAGGCTCCTTTCCCCAGGAACGCTGGGGAGTGTACACTGGGAAAGGCCTC